TTTTATATTATTATTATTAGTCTTTTTAAGACAGGGTCTCACTATGCACTTCAGGCTGGCCTTGAGCTCACTTTGTAGCCCAGGCTGGTCTTGAACTCACAACAATCCCCCTAAGTGCTGGGATTATAGGCATGCACCACCACACCCTGCTGAAAATCTTATGAACTATATCATAAATAAAAAGGCCTATGCATTATGAAGCTAAAAACATTATTAATCACTGAGTGACAGTTTTTAAAGAATCATTTAAAAGTCATTTTAAGAATCAGGTCATGTTCTTAAGGTTTTCCACTTCAAAGTAATCCTCCAAAGCATGGGCTGTGGACATGCACCTCGCCATCTCCGAAGGGAAATTTCCACTTAGTAGAGAAATTGAATGTGTGGTTAAAGCCCTCCTACAAAAAAGAAAAAAAAAAAAAATCAGACTCCAAGGAATATCACGCACATGAAACTCAGCCGTCTAGTATTCCGCTAGACGGAGAAGCCATGTTCAGAATGGCCGCCCGCTGAGAGTGCAAAGAGGGAAGGAACGTCCGGCCGAGGCGGACTTGTGCGGACAGCTGGGACGGTCCAGGCCCGAAGCAGGGGTTCTGGCAAGTGAGCGCGCTCACTGCTGTGGGTTTCTCTGGGGGTTAATTGATTGTTCTGAAAGTTGTGGTGCATTTTTTTTTTAATGAGCAGAATATATTTATTGAGAGAAAGAAAGGTCCTGTCCAAGAGAGGGACAGAAGGGGGGCCCGAGTGGGTAGTTCCCCCTAGTTGTGGTGCATTTTGATCAATTATATGGTGTCTTAATGATCTGAAAAGCTGATTTAAAAAACTAAATTAAAAAGTGAATATATTTGATTTTTTTTTTTTCGGTACTGGGAATTGAGCTCAGGACCCTGCGCTAGGCAGGCAAGCACATATTCTACTGAGCTATCTCCCTGGGCCTGGGGATTTTTTTTTAAAAATTATTTAAAAATTTCACAATGCATTGTTTTGTGAAAAGCTTCTATGCTGGGGAACAGTTTCCACATCTGTATGTGAAAAAGTATTTCCTTCTGATCAGTTGGGTAAGAGTTTTGTGTGTGTGGTACCAGGGATTGAACTCAGAACTGGGTGCTTGCCAGGCTGGGTAGGAGTTTTAATGGGGTGAGCACACAGTACCAGCCTTGAAAAACAAGTATATTTCATAAGGGTGCCAGGTAAAAGAAGGAATATTCCATTAAATTTCAATTTTAGACAAATAGCAAATAATTTTCTTAGAATAAATATGTCCTAAATATTGTATGAGACATGACTATTACTAAACAAATCTATATTTATCTAAAATTTAAGTTTATAAGGGGTCAGGGAGATGGCTCAGTAGAGATAAGCGCTTGACTGGCAAACGCAAGGATCTGAGTTCAATCCCTGGTTCCGCAAAAATAAATAAATAAATAAATAAATAAATAAATAAATGTAAAATAAAATTTAAGTTTATAGAGGAGACTAAAGACTAAATGTTTAACAAACCTGAGTTCACATTTACTATTTCAGATAATGTAATCTTACATAGAAAGTTCTGGAAATCAAATATTCTGTCAAGTGCACATGCCTTTAATACTACATCGCATTACCCAAATGAAATATGAGGAAGTGGTTTACATTTCTATTTTTGTGGTATACAACACATTTTCTTTATAAAATAATCTGAAGGGATACTATTTATAAATATATTTTATCTTTATTTGATTAAAATTACTGCTCAGTGGGGCTGGTGAGATGGCTCAGTGGTCTAAAGCACCTACTTAGAACAAGTTTAGCTAAAGCGCAGGGACCGCGGTTCAATCCCCCAGCGCCACATGCCACCCAGCCCCGCCCCCTGGTGGGCTGAGCTGGCCACACACACACACACACACACACACACACAAATAAATTTAAAAAAAAAAAAGAAACTTTAAATAAAATTACTGTTCAGTGAGTAAGTATAACTGGGGTTATGAAAATAGCTTGTAGGTCAATTTTGACATTTAGTTCTCTTTTGTCTGTTTATCTCTCTCTTTTTAAGTGAACAGAGCTGCAGGAAATCTCATTTATCATATGAGCTGTGAATACATGGAATGCTATATGTATTATTATTATTATTTATTTTTATTTTATTTTTTGGCAGAACCAGGGATTGAACTCAGGCTCTTACACTTGCCAAGGAAGCGCTTATTCCACTGAGCCATCTCCCCGGCCCTGCCATATGTATTTTTTAAAAATCTATGTATTTATGTATTTGGTACAGAGTCTTGCTATGCAGCCCAGACTCCTAGAGATCCTCCTGTCTCAGCCTCCTCAGCGCTGGGATTACAGGCATGCACCACTACTCCTGGTTTTGGTGGCCAGCATGGCGCACCCCAGTTTCCGGGACCTGCACAGCATGCAGTAGCAGGGATCAAACCCGGGTCCTTGTGCTTGCCAGGCGGGCACTTAGCCTGCTGAGCTATTTCCCCTGCTCACCATATGTATTTTTTGATAATAAACAGTCTGTACACTATTTTCAGCTCCAATTTGACTGTTGCATAATAGAAATTTTGTAAGATTGTCCAAGGCCCACATGACTATCTCAGTAAGACAGATGTCAGTGGAAACGAAGTCTCGTCTTCCCCACGGATTCCATGACTGTGCATTTTGCTTCTTGTATAATATTCTCCCAGCAACAATTTTCCCAAGGACATTGTCATAACCTGATTGATAGGTATTGAACTGTGTATGTGCTTTTCTAATTTAAAAAAGTATTTTATATTGTAGGGGCCTTCATTGTTGAGTCTGAAACCTCGGAAAGCTACACAAATAATAAGTCAAAGCTGTACTGGCACGGAATAGGGTTCCTAAATCATGCAATGCCTCCAGATGTTATTCTTCAGGTAAAAAACTGAGTTAACCCATTTGTCTTTTAGGATTTCATTATTACCTTCCAGAAAACATAAAGTACTTAAAGTGCAGGTAATATAAGAACATTGACCTCTGAAATAATCTCATATTTTTATAGTCATTACACCATGTGGATTATTTATTTGATGGTTAGTAACTGTGATCGGTTAATTTATCATTATTTATTATTTAAAGATCTGTCTCTTTCTCAGAATGTACACATTCACATCTTCCATTTACTCTGTTTCTGTGTCCTCCCTTTTAGATGGAAAACTTTAGTCATTCAACAAAGATTAAAAGTGCTGGGCTGGGGAGATGGCCCAGTGGAATAAATGCTTGCCTGGCAAACACAAGGACCTGAGTTCAATCCTCAGTTCTGCAAAATAAATAAATAAATAAAAAATAAGATAAAAAAATAAAAGCGCAGCGTCTCTAAGCACCGGCTCTATGCTAAGTGCTACCCAGGCCATGTGGTCTCATTAAGTCCAAGTATAACAAGAGCAATTTCCAGATTAGGTTTCTTTCATTCTTTTTTTTTTTTTTTTTTTTTTTTGCAGTGCCAGAGATTGAACTCAGGACCTTGTACTTGCTAGGCAAGCACTTATTTATTCTACTGAGCTATCTCCCCGGCCAAACTAACTTTTTTTTTTTCCTTTTTTTGTATTTTAGGGAAGGGTCTACAGAGTGTTCAGGGTCTCACTACTAGATTGGACTCATAGTGATCCACCTGTTTACAGCCTCCCAAGAGCTGGGATTACGGGCGCGGGCCACCACGCCCAGTCTCAATTGCCTTCTCAGCGTGCCCCAGAGGCAGGGCTGGCACAGCAGGCCCAGGATCGAACCCTGGGACCCTAGAACCACTTTAATCCACTGAGCTATTTCCATTCCTTTTTTTTTTTTGCGGAACCAGGGATTGAACTCAGGCCCTTGTGCTTGCCAGGAAAACGCTTATTCTACTGAGTCATCTCCTCAGCCCCTATTTCCAGACTAGATTTCAACTGAACCTTCCAGTTCCGTGCCAGAGGAAGTGGACAGGAGGACTGCAGAACACTCATTAACTGAAGTCAGTACACTGGAATTTGGCTTCAGGGTCAAACCCACACTCTTACATCCAGGTGTACTCATAGTTTAGATCTAGAAAATTATAAGGCTCACTTTTCCTCCATCATGATTGTCATCTCCTGCACCACCACAGCTGTCCTCGCTACGGTCTCCAGTTGACAGGGGCACAGAGTGCTCTAGAAAGACAACCAAAGTTAGGGGTCTCATGGGCACTTCCTGTTTGTTTGTTTTTTTTTTGTTTTGTTTTGTTTTTGTTTTTTGCGGAACCGGGGATTGAACTCAGGCCCTTGCACTTGCCACGCAAGCACTTATTCTACTGAGCTAACTCCCGGGCCCGGCACTTCCTGTTTGATAAAGTCTCCTTAGTACTGCATCGGTAGGCACCAGAGAGACCTGCCAGCAGCAGTGACTAGCTGGCCAGTGTTCTAGCAGTGGATTTACAACACCGTGCGAGAGATTAATTCAGTCTTTTCCCTCCAGCCAGATGTCCACCCTGGAAAGTGCTGGGCCTTTTCGGGTTCCCAGGGTCAGATCCTCATCAGGCTGGCCCGGAAGATCATCCCAATATCTGTCACCATGGAGCACATCTCAGAGAAGGTGTCGCCGTCAGGAAACATTTCCAGTGCACCCCAGGCGTTTTCTGTCCACGTGAGACACCGGCTTAACCCATCCCGCGGCGTGGGTGGTGACGGAAGGCGCAGGGCCAGCCTTAGGAGCTGGGCCCTCCGGACTCTCCACTGTGTGGCTACCTCGTTGTGTTACGGGCTGTCTAGGCTTTGCCTTGTTATCTACAAAGTGAGAGGATGGGGGAGCCGGGCCTCAAGCATTTAATTTCATGGTTTGCTTTTATCAAAGTTTTACTCATAGAGCAAGAATATTTCCATAAAGCTTAAGATGGAACAGTCGTTCCTTATCTCTGTCCCCAAATATCCCAACGCTCCTACCCGAGACAGTGTTAGCGGCATATTTTAACATTTGCCTCCATATTTGCTTTTACCATTTCTTCATTTTTGGTGGTGACCTCCCCCCGTGGAGATGAAGATGAGCTGCCTTCCCCGGCTACCCCCAAATTGCTAATATCTTTGGACCTGTTTTGAAAACCAAGCTTCTGGAGAGAAGTGACACAGCACTCACTCACCCACTCAAAGGGCACTGTTCAGTGGCTTTGTGTACTTGTCACCACAGTCAACTTCAGAATGTTTGGGCCGAGGAGATGGCTCAGTGGAATAAGCACTTCCCTGGCAAGTGCAAGGGCCTGAGTTCAATCCCCAGTTCCACAAAAAAAAAAAGAAAAAGAAAAAAAAAATTTAGAATGTTTAACATTTAGCACAAAAAGAACACCCAACCCTTTAGCTGTCAGTCTCACTCACCCCTCGCACCCCAGCCCCTGGCGCCCCTGATCTTCCTCGTCTCCATGAACATTTCCCGTCCTGGACATTTTGTATAAGAGTCGCGTGTGTGGCCCTAAGGCTTGTGCTGAATCAACGTCTACCATGTCCGAGGAGCTAGGAGCTTGGTCTTCTCTTTGTTCCAATCATGATCAATATTTTCATGGTGAATATGTGGACAGTATTGTTCCACCAGAGCCATAGGATGTACCTGGATATTATTTTCTTTTCTTGCATGATTTTTGGTGTTTGTGAAAATAACTGCCTTACATTGTTTAATTTGCTCTGATCAATGTTTTCATCAGAAATGTAAATATTCTCTCCCTCTCTCTCTCTCTCTCTCTCTCTCTCTCTCTCGCTCTCTCTCGTCTTCCTAGCATCTAACTACTATCTTTTTGCTGTGGTCCATCTAGCTACCTAGTTAGGGACAGCCTGCTAGCTCAGCGGACTAAAGTGCCTGCTTAGGCAGAGCTCAGCTGCAGGGGCTTGATCCCCGGTGTGCCGTGAGGCGCACTGAGCCGGCGATCGAGGCTGGGAGTGGTGGCGCATGCCAGTAATCCCAGCGCTTGGGAGACTGAAAACAGGAGGATCACTACGAGTCCCATTTATGTAGTGAGACCCTGTAGACCCTGTCCCAAATACATAAAAAAGAGAGCTCTTAAACTCCGTATCTACCTAGTTAGCCAGCTAGCCACCCTTGCTCTCCTTAGCCTGTGGCCAGTCCTCAGTCTCATTGGCCCCCCTAGTCTGAGTCCTTGGGGCTAGCCCAGCCCCTATTCAATGGGCACACAGAGCGTCAGGTGAACCACAGTTGTTTTTATTATTACATTAGTACAGCTTAGATATACATGTTGATCACATTCATCATAGTACATTCGTACCTGTACATGATATATATTTTATTTCCCCCCACCCCCTCTCCTCCTTTCAACATCCATTTATTTGAACTAAAAACTTATTCATTGCACACTCCTCTTGGTCTCTCTACAGGGCCTTAAGAGAAGATGTGAAGGAGAAGAAATTTTCCTAGGTCAGTTCATCTACAACAAAACAGAAGCCACAGTCCAAACGTTTCACCTACAGGTAACGAATGCCCCATGACATGGTAAGATGCGATCGGCTCCCTCACTGGGTGATTTAAGCCACGTGAGGATGCAAGCGCTACAATACTTAACGTCTAAGGACCTGGGTTTCAGCGGGAGTCCGGGAGCCAGTTCCTGCAGGTGCCGGCGGATGATGAGCGCAAATGTTAGAAAGGAACCTGTGTCATTAGTTTCGCGTTTAATTGCCGCCCCTTCTTGGGCTCCTGGACGCCTCCATTGGGCTTTGCAGCCGGCTTCCTAGGTGTGCTCTTGTGCAGCACGGCAGGGGGCGCCAAGCAGGGACCGCTGGCGGAGAGCAGCCGGCCTGGAGGTCACAGCGTCGCGCTCCCCACGTGTCCCTCCAGTAGCGCGTCCCCTCGGTCTTTACACCGGTATCTGCAGAGGCTTATGTCGGAGGGGGTTATAAAGAAAGGCTTCTGGGGCTGGTGAGATGGCTCAGTGGTCTAAAGCACCTACTTGGAACAAGCTTGGCAAAGCACAGGGACCGCGGTTCAATCCCCCAGCACCACATGCCAGCCAGCCCGCCCCCTGGTGGGCAGAGCTGGCCACACACACACACACACACACACACATAAATAAATGTTAAAAAAAAAAAAAAAGGCTTCTAGCGTCGCACTGTAGCCACGTTCACTGGAATTCTCTGAGGTGGATTCACTGTTATTTCTTTGCTTCATTTTCAGCACGAAATCTCTGAACCCTTATTGTGTGTGAGATTGAAAATCCTCAGCAACTGGGGCCACCCACGCTACACCTGTTTGTATCGGTTCAGGGTCCACGGCATCCCCAGCGACCATACCTAGAGGCGCTGGGGCCGAAGACCGAGACCACGCCTGTGGCACGGTAAAGATTCCTGGTGGATGACTGAGGCCGCACCCCAGGAAGCAAGAGTGGGCGTGGGGAGGAACCGCAGAGTGGTTCCTATTTGCCAGTGCAATGTAATGAGTTCTACTAATAAAAATAACGCAAGTACACTCAACCTTCTCACGCCTTGTCTTTTTTTTTTTTGCCTTGTCTTTTAAGAATGCAAACACACAACTAAACCATTAAGAAGTAATTTTGTAGCTAAAAGAAGGTGGTTGGGGGCTGGTGAGATGGCTCAGTGGTCTAAAGCACCTACTTAGAACAAGCTTAGCAAAGCAGAGGGACCGCGGTTCAATCCCCCAGCCCCGTTCCCTGGTGGGCTGAGCTGGCCACACACACACACACACACATAAATAAATAAAATTAAAAAAAAAAAAAAGAAGGTGGTTGCATTCACCCTTTATTCTCACAATGGCAGCTGTCCCTTCATTTCTGGATTCTCTCTCTGTCATACGCCTTAGCCACTGTCCTCATTTCTGAGACGCAGTATCGAACACTCACAGCTTAAAGGAGAAGAGGCTTACTGTGCCTCACCGTTTCATCTGCATTTGGAAGGCTTAAGCACAGAGGAGTGTGGCGGAAGGGCCTGGGCGGGAGAAAGATGCCCACACCGCGGCAGCCAGGAAGCAGAAGGGAGGGGTTGGGAGGGGGGCCCTCCAAGGTCCTGCCAGCCCAACTCCTACAGCAGGCCAGCTGGAGGGCCCCATGATCCAAGCATCTTCTGTAAAAGCTGAGGCTCTGAGGGATGACCCCGAACCCAAACCTCCCCACCAGAGAAGGGTGTCAACCGTCGCCATGACTGTGGACACTTGTCTGGAGGCCTTGTCAATGCCCTTGGACAAAAAACAGATAATTTTTAAAACAGAGATAAAAATTAGTGAGGCGTTCTGGCCATGACCGTTTGCAGATCATTTTGATGAATTCCTTGAAATATAACAGTATGATTTTTAAAAATCACAAAGAAAGCCGGGTGTGGTGGCGCATGCCTGTGAGTGATCCCAGCACTTGGGAGGCTGAGGCAGGAGGATCACTGTGAGTTTGATGCCAGCCTGGGCTACTAAGTGAGCTCAAGACCAGCCTGAGCTGCAGAGTGAAACCCTGTCTCAAAAGACCAAAATAAAAAAATAAAAATAAATCACTAAGAAATAAAAACTGCAGTGAAATGGTAGATACAAAACAATCATCTGTGTATCGCTCGTAAACACAAGCAACAACCTGGAAGGAGGTATCATTTACAGAAACATAAGAAAAAAGTAACCCTCCTGTGTAAAAATCTCCCAACGGAAGTCAACGATTAAAAAAGGTGTTCAATAAAAGGAGAACTCCAAGCCTGCCAATGAGGGAACCTTGAGAAAGAGATGGGGTCCCCTTGAGGAGGGTGGTACCTTTCCCAGGCACGTGCCTGTCCTCTCAATGCCAAAATGATGGTGAAGGAGAGCCCAGGAGTGTGTCACAGCGCGGAGGCAGCTGCTGTCCCTCGTGCTGTGGTCCAGGGTGGAATTCGTGCTGTCCCTCCGGGTCTCCTTGTCGCAAAGGACACTGCTTCGCTTGCACGGCGACCCCACATCCTCTGCATCCGACTTGGCATCTGGCCATGTGGAGGCCAGAAGGACACCTCCCGCTCTCCCTGTCCCGGGAAAATGTCCGAAGTGAGTTGTGCCTCTGTGGCCGTGCCGCCTGGACATCTCCGAACTCTGGTGCCCGTGTTGCGCGTTTCTGCAGAGCAGCACTGGCCCTGAGAACCCCAGCTGAGTCCGTAATCCAAGAAAGGTGGCGCTGAAAGAGCTCAATTTTTAAATGGAGCTGAATAACTATACACATCTTTTCACTGGACTGAAGATTTTTTCCCATCAGTGAGAAGTGTTAGTAAAAAACACCAGAAGGATTAAACTTTTTCGCAATGGACACACTGCTGTTGCTGTATTGGAGCTGGTTTGAAGCACTGAGGTGGAATCTTTGAAGGTATCTCTCTAACCTTTCTACTGTGTATTTCACCCTTGAGTTAGGAGATGTCCGGGGAGAGACATTCTTTCTATTCAATTTTCGGCATCTACTTAGTCATTTGAACTGTGTTCTGTGACAACATGCCTGTTATGACTGAAGCCACACAGGTGGGCATTCAGGGAGTGGGTAGAACACAGGAGCGTGATACGCACTGGTCGATCGGTTCACAGTGAGCTTGCAGCTGACCGTGGCTTTGCAAGGGCAGACGGAGGCCAGTAAGCCCTGTCCTCATCTCCGTGCTGAGGGTCTTGGCTTTCTCATTAGTGAGACGAAATACCTGGCCTCGGCAAGTTAGAGGAGGAAAGGTTTGCTCTGGCTCGCAGTGTGTAGAGGCCCCCGTCCCCAGTCAGCTGAAAGGCAGAGTGTCGTGGCAGAGGGGAAACTGCGCACAGCAGGGCGGGCAGAGGCAGCAGTCGACGGGCCTCCCTGTCCTTGTTATTCCACTCAGGATGTGAACCTACCAGTCACACCCAGCTAAACCAGTCAGTGGGCTGCTACAGTACTGCATGCCCTTAATCCCAGTGTGCAGCCCCACGCCACGAACAGAGGGGACACCAGGTAAACACACTGGCTGCCTGCAGCAAGCACACCTAAAGTCTAATTGCATTCCAAAGTCATGAAACCCTGAAACATCCTGACACACACTGATGTATTACAAGTAGGGGAAAACAGTTTTCCATCAGCGAACACTTACAGCGCAATGACCTCAGTTCCTCCGTATTCTCAATGACCTTCACACTGACACGGAAGAACCTCGGAAGGGCAGCCCTTCCCAGAGCAGCAGTTCGACTTTCTCTAAAACACGTGGTTGTGACGAGTGCTCCTGAGGTTCGCGCTACAGGATTCATCTGTAAAGAACCTTAGCTGAAAGGTAGGTAGCTTTAAGGGACTAGTCATTAGTTACCCTTGAATGACTGTCGAGGAAAAACCCAGCTGGAATTCATGCTAACACAGTCAGACTTCTTCATACAGAAAAGTCTTCAGTTTTCTGCAATACTCAGCATCCTCCAAGCTACTCGGGGACATAGATTCCACTTTAACTTAGAGTAGCAGAAGTCGCTGGGTAGGCTAGAGTGATATAGGACCTTTAAGGCTGCTTTGGAAATTGGAAGAAAGCATGGAAATTGGACTTAAGCATGGAAGATGGAAAGTGGTAGCGGATGCACGAAGAAAGGCTGTGACGGTGACAAGGCTTAAGTAGCACAGCAAAGGAAACTAAGCTTCACTTTGGTTTAGCTTGGAAACACCTGTTAACTGAAAGGCCAAGACGCACTCGTGAGGAGCTTGCCCAGCCTGCCCCTTGTGAAAGTCAAAATCCTGCTGGCCATTCATCGATGAGAGCGGCAGCGATCACCCCTCTCTGGGTGGGACCTGTCCAGAACTGGCCTCTGACGATGCTGAGAGGACCCCAGGCATCCACCAAGGAGCTACTGCCTGAAATAAGCGGAATTTGCAGGTGGAGGACTTCCCTGCTTGTTTCCATTGGTAGCATAAGAGACAAAATGACTACTGTGCTCCTGCTTTATGACAGCTTTTAGTTATTTTGTGCAAGATTTAAAAGACCAAATCATGGGGCCGGGGAGACAGCTCAGTAGAGTAAGCACTTCCCTGGCAAGCACAAGGGCCTGAGTTCAATCCCTGGTTCCACCAAAAAAATAAAAGACCAAATCACAAAATAGCTATATGGTATGCGGCATACCATGTCTGCAGATGCAATGCGCAGTGGCACTCACGTGAAGGGGTGACTAGAAGCCACACAGAGACAGACTTGTACGCAGCTGAGGAAGGGAAGTGGTCCTGCTGCTGGGGAGACAGCTCAGCAGCACAGCGCCTGCCTGGCAAGCGCAAGGGCCTGAGTTCAATTCCTGATGCAGAAAAAAGCAGAGTGGGAGTGGTCCTGCTGACAAGAGGTGTTCACAGCAGCTGTACTGAAGGAGCGGGCGTGCACTTTGCTTCTGCCTGAAGGAGGCATTTGAAATAGACTGGAGACTGGTTTCCTGGGCCCAGGATGTGAGGGAGGGACTTGCATGTGTGACTTCAGCATCTTTCTGGTGGACTTCAAGAAGCTCAGCAGGGCCGGCCAGCCAGTCAGCAGACTAAAGCGCCTGCTTAGGCAGATGCAGCGGTCGATTCCTGGCCTGCCGTGCCGGCCCCAACCCCCAGGGTGCGCTGGGTCGGAGACTGAGACTGGGCGTAGGGGCACCAGCCTGTCATCCTAGCATTTGGGAGCTGAAAAGAGGAGGATCTGTGTAGTGAAACCCTGTAGACCCCGTACTAAATACATAAAAAAGAAAAACCTGAAAAAAAAAAAAAAAAGGAATCTCAGTATAGTGAAGTTCCAAGGCCACTTGAGGACTCAGCGATGATGTGATACCTTTTAGAAGAAGAAAGCTACCTGCTTTTATTATGGTATAGAGTATGAACAAACACCTAACTACAGCAATGGGCACATGGGCAAGAAGCCAGCCTTTCCATTAGGTCTAGTCCCAGGGAGGGCAGGAGCTGCCCAGTGGGGGCGCCCAGGGTTTGATCAACAGTCTCTCCCCTGTGGGCTCCTCAAGGTCAGGAGAGGAGGCCTGGTGGTGGCAGACCTGTCAGCTGGGTGCAGAGCCATCTGGTGGCTCAGGGACTCCTGTGGGGATGGGATGCTGGCAGTCTAGACAGAATATGAGGGGCAGAGGGAGCTGCTGTGGACGCTTGCTGCTTTGCCACTTCACTCCGTGGTGACTTCTGCTTTGCTGCCCTCTGCCCAGCACGCACTATCCTATTCCTCCTCTCGTTGCCCCTCTGCCACGCCACCCTCCCTTGGAGCCAGTCAACTATGAACAAAAACCTTGTGAGCCAAAACAAACCTTCCCTCCTTTCCCCTTGGTGTCCGGTATTTTGTCTCAGCAATGAGAAAATTAAGGCAGATGCTAAGCAGTTAGAAATTCAGCGAGGGTTCTCTGAGGGCCTTGGAAAGCAGCCACCTCAGTTCAGGCTGGCCTTGAATTTACATTGCCGCCCTGACTGGCCTCGAACCCCAGCAGTCCTCCTGCCTCTGCCTTCCAAGTGCCA